TTTAAGTCAGGCAAACGTGCTTCCTCTACCTATCTATATACATATCTATATGTATGTTGTTGTTAAATTTGGATATTTGTCCCTCAAAATATGGATGATATTCGCAATAAGGAAATTAAGGTCCCAAAAGTTTTTTTTAGGTTGAAAGTTTGGGCTCCATTATTTAATTTCAGTTTTCATGCATTTCGCAATGTCTCGAGAACTTTCGAAACGAATTCAAAAAATTTTATACCTAATAATAAAATTCATTTACCTAAAAATATTTTCCCGACAAGAATAGTTTTTTTTAAAATTATTTATTATTAATAGTCGGAAAAATTTTCAATTTAAAAATATACAAATTTTTATATAATTTTAAAGAACATAAATGTAAATGGTAAAATACAAAATTTGTCGAATAGTTCTTGAGAAATTAAATGTTAAATATATAACTTTTTTAAAAATGAATAATTCAGTTGTATTTGACTGATTTAATACACATTAAATTTTGTATTTTGTCATTTAAAATGACATTTGTTAAATTTTCAATTTAAAGTTCTTTCGTCTATTCTCTTAAATAAATTAATATAAAATAATCAATACTTCTTGAAAATTATTTTTGACAAGGAACTATTTTTAGGAAAATGAATTATTATTGTGCGCTAAAATTTTTTAGTTCGTTTAAAAAAATTCTCGTGGTATGACTATATATTTCGAGAGTCAAGAATTCGAACCATTTAAAAAAAAAGTTATGCTTTTTTTAGAAAAAGATGTGTTTGTTTTTCTAAAGTATTTTGAGTCTTAGTATATAAAAGTTCAAACTTTCGATCATAAGTCATTCAAAGTGTCTGCTTTTTTGCACATGGTACATGTGCACAAACAGAAGTTTTTTTTATATCAATTGAAAAGTTTTCAATTGATTATATTTTAATTTTTTTTATTTGAATAAATATTTTCTTTTAAAAAAATTTTGATTTTATATTTAGAATTAACACGTGACTTAATAGCAGATGTATTTTTAATTGTTAGAGGGGGGCACCAAAATATTTTCAGTGCTTAGGGCCTCAAGAGGTCTTAATCCGGCCCTGTGAGCAGAACTATTTAACAAACATAAATTTTAATTGCTTAATATCACATTTGTTAAAAACATAAAGAAAAAACAAAATGTGTCTTTATAAACAAAGACGTTATTAAAAAAAGTTAATGATACTAACTTATTCAAAATCATAGCTTACCATAGTTTTTATATTTAAAACATAGCTTACCAATCTTTTTTAATTTATTACCCACTTTGCAAGGCAAAAACTTCCAATGTACACTTGTAAGAAAACTTCTTTTTTTCCCACTCATTGTTTAATATTTTTGCTATTATTCACTTTTTTCATATTGTTAATTTATTGAAAATTCCTATTAACCAATAAATTTATAATTGCGATTTTTTTACTATGAAAATGGACTATTCAATATATAAAAATTTTAAATTGTTTCGTAAAAATAATTAGTATTCAGATAAAATTTAGTGAGCCTTGCAATTTGCCTATAAATATTTAATACAGTAAAAAAAAATTATGTGATTTATAAGGGATTTTGTCAGTGTTGTCCAGTATGTTTACTACTGTGATTCAAAGTCAGACAGTCATTTTTTTTAAAGCTAATTATAAGAAATCCAAAAGTTTCAGAGAAAAAGTGTAATATGTTTGGAAACCTTGAATTTATATTAAAAGTCTTAAAAATTTCATTGAAATTTCTTATTCTTAATTTCAATATTTAATAAAAATAATTTTTGTGTGAGCTGGTACTGGTGCTCTAGAAATTCAGCATCCCCTAGAACTCTTCAGCTCTCACAATGGAAACCTATGATTTAGGATAATGTTCAGGAGGGCCTTTGAGACCCATAAGTATAGAAAAAAAAAATACTGTTTGGATTATTATGAAAAATTTTTGAAATAAAACTTTCATTTTAACCTGAAATTAATTTTTTGTTATTTGTTTTATAACATAAAATTCCCTTTTTTTCTTTTAAAATGAATGTCTTTTTTTTTTTTAAATTTCAGACATGGATTTGAAATTAATTACTTGTGCTGATTCATTTCGTAACTTTCATTTTACTGATGAAACGGATCTTATTTATATGAGTTGCAGCTCCTCTGACAGTTTATGCGATGCAGATGAATTGCATTCTTGTGATCATAACTGCTGCAGTATTAAAATAAAAGAAGTAAGATAATTACATGTAATATTTATTTTATTTGATTATTTTAAATAATTATTGCTAGTATTAAATAAATAATCCCTAGAAACTGAAGCAGTAAGATTTTACTTGATTAAAAAAAAACCATTCACTTCAAAAATATACAACTTGGAAATAATATACTGACATTTTTACATTTTGTAACATCTTATTCTTGTCTGGCAAGTCTTGAAAATGGGCACCTGCTTTTATATATTTATTGTAAGTTGTAGTAGTATATTTGTAAATGAAATAGTAATTTATTTGTATTTAAAGGTATTTCAATATTGATAGTATTTCAAATGTATTTGTATTTTTAAAAAATGGTTGGTTTAATGTTAAAAAAACCTATATAACTCTGTTGTTACTATTTCAAAAGAAATTTTTTATTTCTGATAAAAAATAAAGTAATTTAATTTTTATTAAATTCATCATAATTATTTTACTGACTTTTTCTTGAATTATTTGATTGCTCTGCATAATTTCTAAGGTTCTTATCTTGGAGCTCTGCGCCTTTGCAGCTCATTATTATTAATTGTAAAATTAAACCCCTTCCCCTCCCTCCAAAAAAATACCCTTTGGAATTAAATTAAGCATTCAGATAATAGAAGTGCTGCTAAACTTAATAATCAAAAGCAAAAAAGACTATTATAATTAATGAATTAAAAGCATCTTGTTAAATTATTTTCAAATAAGTTATGTTAGTAACTTAAAATTGTGTATCATTTCTTATGGAGCTATCTAATATAAAAATAAAACTTATAAATCTTCAGATTCTATTTTGATTTCTAATTATTTTTCATTCCCTTTAGGGTAGCTCCTCATAATTTATAAACAAATTCCTATTATAATGTTTGATGATAAACCTTATTACTATGCATCTTTTATGATCTAATAATATTTTTCTATAAGTGATCTTTTTAATACATTTGTAGAGTCTTCACTCAAGTTGTGGAATGAATGTATGGCCCTCAGCCCCCATATTAGGAAAATATATTTGGCATTATGGGCAAAGATTGAAAGGTAAAAATGTCTTGGAGGTAATTAGTTAATTATTAATATAATAAAGTTATTTATGTATTATTTTTATATATCAAGGTTTGTATTATAAAGATCAGAGATCTTTATAATACGAAACTTGAAAAGTGAGACTTTACACTATAAAGAATTTTGTGATCTATAGATCACTACAAATATCAATAAACTTACCTGTTAAACATGGCAATAAATATCAGGAACAGATAAATTTTAATACTTTCAAATTATTTTGAAATACAACTACTTTAAAACACAAAAATATGAACTTAAGCATTTATCATTTATTGAAAGAAATAGAATAGAAAAAATAGTAAGATTAGAATTAAAATCAAACAAATTTGTCAATTTTGGTTTGCTTTAAAGATTCAGGGAGAATTGCGTTATTTAGATCTTCTACTGTATATGTATATGAATATATATGTATATCATACAATATATTTATATGTAAACCATTCTCTATAATTGAATGATAATATGTAAACCATTCTCTATATTGAATTTAGTGAAGCAAGATTTTAACCTGAGAGTCAGCATCATAAAATGTCAATAATATTAAAATTTTTTAGATGTAATCTGTTAGCTAAAAAAATTATTGCCAAGTAAACAAATTTTAATAAAAAGTTTTAATGCCTGTCAGTAATGCACGAGAATTTAATCGTAGCTCAATTCTTATGCATGACTTCAGGAATTTTTAAAAATTTTTTCCTTCCTTTAATTTAAATCATAGTTCGTTTCATACATAAAGTTCTACTCTAAGACTTGTTTCAATGCAGTACAATATTTTAATTTGAATACTGTAAAATGTTAAATATCAGCATGAAATTATTTGACTTGGTTATGCTCTATGCATATTCATTTAAATCATAAAGTAAAAAAAATAATGATTAAGATAATCTATTATACTTTTAATGATATTTTTAATGGTAAACAAAAATTAAAATTTTGCTAAAGTAATAAAATAACTTATGCACTTTCTGTTTTTTTTTTCAATTATAGCTTCAAAAAATTTATAATGCAGATATAAATATTATTATGATCTAATTGAAAAGAAGAAAAAAAACACTCGTATTAATATTAAACAAAGGTGAGTATGACATATTCACATTAGACATTTATTTATAGAAAATGTATGTTGTCTTATAAGAAAAAAATGTCTATGTGATGTACAAATTTTCTGTGCTCCTTTAAATTTATATTTGTGTTAGGGAAGTTCCACAATAACATTTCCATATTGACTACTAAATTGCAAACAAACAAGAACTGCAAACTTTAAAAAAAAAGAAGAAAAAAAATGCAGCATAACATGTATTAGATGTCTCTTCTATGTCGTTAGTGTGTTGATATTTTCTTTAGAAATGCATTTGTATATAATATGAAAAAAAAATATTTTTTTTGTTTTCTCCTAGTATTATTTAATTAATTATTCAGTTTATTTTTATAGCTGGGTGCTGGAACTGGATTGATATCGATCTTGGCAGTAAAATGTGGAGTTGCTGAATGCATTGTTACTGATTCATCCACTGATGCACTAAAGGTTGCTCATGAAAATTTAATTCTAAATAACTGTAGCAACTTCACCTTGCAAGTGTTACCATGGGGTTACTTAAGTCCATTCCTTATTTCACATGGAACTATTGATTTAGTTCTGGGTTCTGATGTATTTTATGATCCTCAAGGTATTTAAAGCAGTAATTCTATTATTTTCATTTAAAATACATTTGTACAGTAACATACTATCCCAAGGTACACATACATGGACCTTTATGATCTTGACTGTATTATTTTTAAATATTAAGTAAATATAATAGCTTCATACAGATCACAGATTTACTAAGTCAAAAGAAAAAATATTATTTTTAGAATAACTGAAACAGGGTGCGTAGCATTTTTAAAAAGTGCTTGAAGGTGCTTATTTTTGATTATCGTTTTTTAAAAGCCCTTAAAGGTGCTTTTTTCATAGGGTGTTTTTAAAAAGTGCTTAATTTTCCCTTTACCCTGTTGATTTTTACCACGTATTATGTAAAAAGACACTGTTCATATTGTTCTATTAAATTTTTTCATAATTAATTCAACCCCAATCTATTTCGGATTACCGTCGGTCCTTAGCGTTTGACAACGCCATTCGTTTTATGATTCAAACTTTCATGATTTTTGACAATTGCCAAAAACTATGCCTGCAAAACTAACAAGACTAAAGTTTATTTTTTCTGACATGACGGTTAAATCCGGATGAAACCGTCAATTGCGAAAAACTTGCCAATCCTGCCTAATTATTATTTTTTTTTAAAGTGCTTAAAAATATTTTTGAGTTCTTGAAAAGTGCTTATTTTTTGTTGAAAAATTTGGATACGCACCCTGTAAAAGAATAATAAAATTCAAAATAACTAAATATTATTATGTATTTAAAATGAGTTACATTTTCGAGCAAGTGGATTTAGTGTCATTTTTCAAAAATCATTTCTCTTTATGTGGAATTCTATCCAAATAACTTACATGTTCTGCATCTATTGTAGAATCTCCAGAAAGCTTAAATATCCACGAATGTTTCAGTAAAAGTAAAACTATAAGTTTTATAGCGTGTTTTCAGAAAATACGAAGAAGGTCCACATATGTGGACGAAGTAATAAAGAGGATTAAAAAGGGAATACCTTGAATAACTTTCAATCTGATGATTGGATTTTTATGTTCTCAATATTAGTAGTTTTAGGGTATAACTTTAAGTATGTTAATTAACTAGAGCACTTAAAAGTAATTTTTGCATTAAAAAGCAAAATTAATAGAAAAAAGGCACTTATTCATTTAGGGGTACCATTAAAAAATCTCCATACTGTTATTAATGCTAATTATTTTTAGCAATAGGTACTACTGGTATGATGATAATTAGTGCTGCTTTAATCGGTACCAAATTTTCTGCTATAGGTATCAAGGTACCTACTATAGGTACTATGAAAATATGTTCTTTATGGCTCCTGAAAGGGAAAAGTACGGAAGGAAGCTGCTTAATTGTGGTGAATTTTGACAATCATCAGTTGGCTGTAAGCAGTAGTATCATGCCAAATGATATTGAATACATTTATCTTTATTTTAATGAGAAGTACTTTTAAATGCGTGTTTTGTGTAATTTAATAACAGTAAGCCACCAGGAAGTAAACAAATAATAAAAGATTTTTAAAAAAGTATTGGAATTATTTTTATTTTATTAATTACATTGGTATATGCCTTCCTATTTTGTACATGATTTCGTAGTGTTAATCAATACCGATTTATTGACCATTTACTTTTTTTCACCTCTTATGATAAATGAGTGTTCAGCCAGTATAATATAATAGTTAACTTAGAAAAATTAAAAAGATTTGTTTATTATTAAAAAAATAAGTAAAGAACTTGAATAAATAAATGTTTTGTGTGATAAGTAAGAAAAAATATTTAAAATTTGCTGTCTTATGCTTGTTAATATTTAAATGTTATGAGTTGTTATGATAATACATTTTTGATGTGTCCTTATAGATTTTGAAGATATTATTGTCACTGTCTCCTATGTCCTAAAGAAAAATACTGATGCTGAGTTTTGGTGTGCTTATGAAAAAAGATGGTAAATAAATTAATGTTTTACTTTACATTTCAAAATAAATTGTTGCAAAATGACAACTCCATTAACTGTTGAGACATTTGTGCAAATCTGTACAAAAAATTTCCTGTCAAACTTTCTTTAATATTTTTCATTGAATACTCGTTTTTTCAACGGAAAAGCCACGACGTTCTGAATTTAAAGTGATTTGTAGGTAAACTATCAAAAGCTTAAATTTGTAAAAATTATTTAGTAATTGCTTTAGAAATTTCCATGACTTAAGGAAAATTCTAATTTACAATTGTTTTTTGGTGTTTTTTTTTTTTTTTAATTTACTATTTTTAAAACTAAGCGCAACTTTTTAAAATTGTAGTGAAAAACATGTGCATGGGAACTTTTCTTACAATGTTAAGCTGTTTCATTTTCTTGTAATTTTATAATCTTTTCTCAAAATAGTTTTTAAATAATTTTTAGTTTATAAACTTTGTGTCCCAAAATAGTACATAATCGTTTCTTAAAAATTAATTAATATGAAACATTAATATGCCTTGTAAAATAATACAGTAGTGTTTGCTTGAGTAATCAGCAAATTGTATATATAGTTATATCACATGACAGAAATCTCCAAAATTGTTCGGTACAAGTATTACATATTTTCACAAATCTAAATGTACAATCTAAGCTGTATGTCATATCAATTCTTTCCTCTTTTTTTTTTTTAATGTTTATCGGCAACATGGTTTCAAATTCTCCTAAAAAAACTTGTGTCAGGACATAATGTTTAATTTCTCCTACATTTTTGTTTGAAAAGTTGAATATTTAAAGAGTAATGATTTAAATAAGTGTAGTAAAACTTATAAAACTGTAAGTAATAGAGCAAGTTTAAAAAAGTAATGAATGCACACTGTAAATAAGCATCATTACTAAGTTTACATCTATTTTTAAAAAACTACTGAAATTTTTATTTGTAAACTAGCCCTAAAATTGATGAATCCATGCAATTTGTATAAGTTAGAAAAAGCCTACTTGTTAACATACAGTACTATGAACATGCTCAAAAGTCAATAATTTTGGCTGGTGATGTACATTTTTGATGAAACAGTTCTCAACTAAGTAAAACTTTATTAGAATTTTTTTATGACATTTTAGATTGGTTTTTTGAAAGAAACGGTAATTTTTCTAGCAACCAACTTATTATATGTATCTCTTAGTTTAAAATATATTTTTAAAAAAATGTTTCCCTAGCAATTGACTACTGTACTATTTCTAGTATTTTAAAATAGTAGTTTATACACCTTATAACATGAGATATATATTTTGTTAAGTCTTTGACTCATAAATTATTTCTTGTGTAACAAATTTAGTAAGTTTTATTATTTTCTTGTATCTCAAAACATTCTTTTCTCAAGCAATTCAATAAGGATATTATTTTATTACACAAAGATAATATTCCCTCTAGTAATTCACTAGGGTTATTATTTTGTAACGCAAGACAATATTCTTTTCTCGAGTTACTAGGGTTATTTTGTATCACAAAATAGTAATTTTATTTTCCCATTTTCAGATCTCTAGATTCATTCTTTAATGATTGCCTTTTAGAATCAGGTCACTAGATTTATTCTTTAATGATTGCGTTTTAAAATCAGGTCACTAGATTTATTCTTTAATGATTGCCTTTTAGAATCAGATCACTAGATTTATTCTTTAATGATTGCCTTTTAGAATCAGCTCTCTAGTGGTGTTTGGGAAGCCTGTATTGTCAGGGTATTCCATTTTGGGAAGAAAAATGTCGAGGAATAGTGTAATTTTGGGTCAAAACCTGAAAAAGTTTTGCAACAAACCAAGAAAATAATTAACTTCAAAATATATTTTAACAATATAAATAAATGTGGTTCAAAGTCTTACACTCAATATTATTGTTATTTTTTGTAAAAATCTTGCTGCAACATATTCAATTTTTTTTAGAACCATTAAAATTATAATATTAATTTGTAAAGAATACTCTTTGTTAAACAATTCCTTGCATCAAATTTGGTATTGAATATGTATATATATATAACTGTAGTTCAATAATTCTAAATGTTTAAAAATTAAGCTTTCTCTGTAAATTAGTTTTAGTTGGAAGTGAAGATAGAATAACAAGTTATATATTGAATTTATAATGGCACATAGGTCTCAATAAGTTAATTTTTTTTCAGTTTCTGCACAAAATAATGTTACTACCTATAATGTATAAGTTATGTATTATAAAATCTACATGTGAAATCTACTACTTCACCTAGTAAAATTTTATTTTTTACAAAATTTAATATTTTGCATTTTTTTTTTTTTTTTATTATCAAAAAGTAAGTTTGCTTGCTAAGAGAATTAAAAAGTGTTATTTTTCTGATGAAATATTGCTATGCATGGCAAAATTTAATCTAGAACTTTGTTAAAATCTGCATGGAAAACCTGGGATTCTGTTTCTTAAATTGAGTGCTAACTCTAGAATCCGTAAAAAAATATTAGCATAATAGGTTGCATATTGATATTTAAAAGAGAGAAAAATATTATGAAATTCTTAAGCAATATCACAAAGTATGTGAGAAAACGAGTTATTAAAATAATAAAACATCAGCGTGTTGACGAAGGGGAAGAGGGTTGTCATTTGCTTTTCATTTATCAATTTCCTGTTTTCTATTGAATTATCTCAAGTTCATATATATTGCAATGAATTTGTTATGTTTGACCTTGTTTTTGATTGGTCAAAGATAGATAATGAATTTGTTTTTCTTACTTAAGTAACAGGGTTTGAAACAACATGAATTTTTTTTAAGGCAAAAAGAAATTGTATTTTATTTTATTCAGATTTTTTTTACATTTACCAATCAAAGCTCTATTATAATGTATTAATAATGCTTAATTTTATTCAAAAAATAAATAAATAATATTATTTGCTAAAATATTTAATGTTTTCCAACATAAATGGTTATAGTTATTTTATTACTATGAACTAATAACTGAATAAATAAAAATTGAAGAAATTTTCAAGCTCAACACGCTCATGAATGTAAATGATTATTTATATATATATAATTACATATTTAAAAAAATTACTTGTATTTAAATAAACTTAAAAATAAATGGCATTTATTATGAAACATGTTCATTTATTAAACAGCAAATTATTTGTCAAACAGCTAATAACAATTTATAAATAAAAAATATTCTCTACTTAAGCTTTTTTACTTATTAGTCTATTTTAAATATGAAATATTAATTTATATACTTCCCCCTCTCATTATTTCTCTAAATAAAACCTTTATTTTCAATGAAACCAGACTTAAGAGAATTAAATATATATATATAAAAAAAAAACACATAATTTTAGGAATATACTCATAAATTATATTGTATAAAAATATTTTTGACTTAAATTAATGCTGTAAACATTAAATGGTTTACAGCATGCCAATTCTTCTTAAATACAGATTTGTGATCCCTAGTTTGCTTTATTTTTTTTTACGAAGATTTAACACCTAGTGACACAAAATATTCTTTCGTTTTTCAGCTCTGAATGGAATATCCAACATTTGCTAGAAAAATGGAGACTTTGTTGTGAAGAAATTAATCTAGATAGTTTTGGTGCAGAAGGAACTAATGTTGCTGATTCTAATCTTCCAGGCATGAAAGAAATACGTTTATTTGTGTTCCGTTCTGAACAGACCAAGAATAGTGAACTTGGTTGTTTGTAGAATTTTTATAGGAATGATTCATTAACTTTTATTGATGAGTGTAATCAAAGAAATGATAGGTGATATTATTACTCTTTGTGTTTCATTTTGACTGATTCAAGAATAGTCCGGACTGAAGTTTGTGGAATTTTTTATGATTCATTTAAAACTGTTACTAGCTTTTATCAATGAATGGAGGGAAAAAAGATAAGTGATATTATTAATCTTTATTTGTGTGTCCTTTTGACTGATTCAAGAATATTTCAGACTGAAGTTTGTAGAATTCTTTTATGAATGATTTTCTAATTGTTACACGAAAAGAAGTGCCAACTATTACGATTTTATTGTTAAGATTACTGTCTTACCACAGAGAAACTAAAATTACAGTTTTCGAGAATTTCTATAATAATCTGTTTAAAATAAGGTTTTTTTGCCTAGATTTATACTAACAAAATTTATGAGATTTTATTTCTTGCAACTAATCTATAATTTTTTCCCGCTCTTTAAACAATTCTGAAAATAATTTTAAAAAAAGGGATGTTGTGGAAACAAGAAATCTCATCTCTCTCCTTTCTAACAAACTATTCTGAAACTAAATCTTCTCTTGTTGTAGACAAGCACAAAAAACATATAGTCCAATCAGAAAAATGATGTGAGCAAAAATGTTTAGTGATTCAAATGCAAGAGGATAAACCATTGGATGATAAACATCTGTTGGCTATAAGATCTATTTCTAATTTAACCGAAAACTAAAACATTAAAAGTTATATTAAATTTTATACTGAGTTATAAAAATTGTTCATAATTTCATTGTTTCATAATTTTTAATTTAGTTCCTTTATCTAATTGTCACTTTTTTTTATTTAATATTAAATTCATGCATAATTTTATCAATATTACGTACCTATATAGAATTAAGTAGTATATGCACCTTATAATTGCCTAATTTGAATTTTGCAAGTGCAAATAATTGTGTTATTGTACTTCTGTGGGTAGTTTGGAAAGAATTAATATACCTTCAACATGAATATGGGTACTTTACTGGCAAGCATCAGATGAAAAAATAAAGATCCTTTTGATAAAATAATAACAGTAAAATGTGTTTTGATTTAATACAGATAATTGTTTATAGCAGATCATTCAATTTAAAAAACGAAAATAAAAATTTACGTAATTTTTTATACTTTTAATGAAATTTTGAGTAGTGAGAATAATAAGTATAATCTTTCAAAAATAATAAATAACTTTAAAAAACTTCAAAGAAACTTACATAGCATTTTTACTCCATACAAAGTGAAAAGTACTTTTTTTTTAAAAGCAATACAAATGTAAGTGATGAAAATGTGTATCATTGCAGTTGTCAATATATTTTTGTGAATGAGTTTTTTTTATAAAAAATGTCATATTTTGGAGCTTAAATGTTACTGTTGTAAAATATTTTTAGAGGATTTTGTAAGACATATTTGGTGTTGCATTACTCATTAATGTGACTATAAATATTGATTGTGTAGATTTTATTTTTAAAATAAAATATAATTAACAATGAAATTTTTATTATTTTTTTATTGGTTTAGATATAAGACGCTTAAGTACAAAAACAGATAAATACAATTGCAAGGAGTGAAACTAAGGAAACACTTTCACAAGATAATGTGGAGTTAGAGAGCAAAAATTGAGCTCTAAGAGTGTGCCTTCTAGGTAAAAATCAAGAATGCACTGCAATAATAAAGTCGAATAAAGGACAGTCAACCTTTATCATTGAAAACTTTAAAATGTGCTCAAACAAGCGACCATCAACTGTAATAATCACATTGGAGATGGAATGAATCATCCAAATGTTGAAGATTCCTACCATTTCACTGTCTAAAATTGCAAACTTCTGTTTCAAAGCTGCACCTGGTAACTGCAAAATGATCTTTACTGCTTCTGCAAAATTGCCAGCAATAGACCTGTGTGTAGTTGCATTTAAATATTGCTCTATATTTGGCAGCAAACAAATGAATGGCTGATTTTGTAAAAGCTGACATTTCATTCACTCTAGAGATTTCTCTTTGCATCTCTATATTTTTGTGTCAGAATTTATTAAAACTTTTCTAAATTTTTTCTAACAACGTAAAGGGTGTTTATACCTATCTGGAATTGAACATAAGTTGAGCTTTTACTGAAAATCATTTACTTTTCCTAAAACAAGTATCTTTCTTGAAAATGCCAAAAATCGTATTGCAAAAAAGTATGAACAAACATGCAAGCGCAAATTATTTGCACAACCAATATTAGCGGCGGCGGATAACTTTCCTTACAACCTGATGATAAACATATGTGACAGTTATTTTTAGTAAAAATTTTACTGCGTAATTAAAATTATTTAATATTAAATCAAAATATAAGTTTGTACAAAAAAAATTTCCTCCTTTAAATTATTTCTAATCTTTACATGTTGTATAAATATAAGGTTTTTCTTTGCAGTATTTAACAAACATATGGTTCAGAATTTTATTGAAACTTTCTTGAAAACCTTACTAAAATTTTCTAGAAAAGTAAAGGGTGTTTACACCTATCTGTAATTGAACATAAGTTGAGCTTTTACTGTAAATCATTTACTTTTTCTAAAGAAAATAATATCCACAGTTAGTTTTCAAATTTTACATGTATTGTAAAATTATATGCATCCCTAGCCAAGTCTTAATACCTTTTATTTCAGTTAAACATATAACAATGTGAGAAAACAAAATTAGTATATCAATTTCAAAAATAGATTCAATGTATCAAAACTTTTGTGACATATTACAATATCTGCACATTCAAGGTACGTAGCCAAATTTTTCAACAAAAAATAAGCACTTTATTAAAAAAAATCATTAATATTTAATTACATAGAAAAATTATCGAGTGCAGTTTTAAATTTAAATTAAAGTTATTCATAAAAGTATATGCAACAAAAACATTAACAAGATTAATCATACTAAATTTATAAAGATATGTAAACAACTAAGCAAATCTTAATAAATTCATATTAGAAATATAAGTAAGTATAAATGAATGGCCCCTTTTAAATTTGTATTAAAATTTATGAGTTAATCCAGTATTTCTTTAATGAATCATTAAAAAAAAAATTCCAATAATTTGTAAATATGAATAGAGTGTGTATTGAAGCTAAACATTTTTGTTAGAAATAAATTATATGGTCCCTACGATCATAATATTAAACAAATCTGAGAATATTGAATTTTTTTTTGTTTAAATTTTTGTTATTAAATAAAATTATTAAAAGATGAATTGAAATTTTTTGAAATAACAAATCTGAACGACATAAGATTTTTTCTAAATTTGCAAACTGTTAAAATAGTGAAAATCCCCTCACTTTATACTTTTTTTAAAATCCTGCGTCTAAATTTCATTGATTTTTTTCATAAAATAGCTTAAAAGCACTGAAAATTTTAAGAGAAATAATTTAATAAAATGCAATAAGAAATTTTATAAAAACACTATGCAATTAGTGGACGTTCTTTAGGTAAAACAATTGTATTAAAAATCTCAATTACTTCCTTTTTGTTAAAATTAAATGAATAAAAGAGAGATGGAAATTTTAAGATGATGAAGCTTTGTGATTTTTTACTGTTCTGAACCCACATGAAAATATGTAATTAATGAATAATCTCAAAGTTAAATTTAAGGACTACTCATCTATAAATAGAACAGCATGAGAATGTCATTTGCTTTCTAGTGACTAAGATGATAGTGCTATACCAGCGAAGAAATAAATTTTTTTGTTTGCTATGAGGGAAAAAAATGTGGCATTTTTCTTTTAGTTTGTCCTAATCATCAGCAAAAATGTGAGATTTATCAATTCGATTTCAGGGGGCAGCAAATGTAGCCTTAAATCGGTGAATCTCGGTGTATGCACTTGCATACCATAACATATAAAATGTTTTATCAAACATGCAAATTGATTGGTGCTTTAATATGCTACGCACAGACGGTATGTCAAAATGGTATGTAGTTGAATGAATTGTAAAAATGTTGAATGGAACAATGTGAGAACCAAGCATTTTGAGTATTTCATGGTAAAAATCAACATGGTAAAGAATACAATCTTATTTTGGAAAAGAGAAAATGAAGGACTTTTTAAAAAATCCAACAAAAAAAAAGCACATTTAAGCATTTTTTAAAAAGGCTACGCATCCTGACATTTCTTTTACAAAAGTAGGAATCTCAAAGTTTACCTTACTAAGAGAAAATGGGAATAAGACAATTAATATTTCAAAATAGGAAAAATATATTGTAACTATAAATAATGATCCATTCCTTTTCAATTTTTATAATCCATGATATAATTTACAAATTTACAATGAAACATAGTCTCATTATTTACAAAGATCATTTGTGATTTTAATCTTCAAATGTGATTTGTCTCGATCCTTGATTTTTCATGTATCTTCGATTGCTCCTGTATCGAGCACTTTCAGCATACTTGGCTTTCATATCATCTTCCTTTTTTTGTTTCCATTTCTGCAGAAAAGAAACAAAATATATACATTGCCTTGAATGTCATTAATGTAACTTACAATATTTTTTACTTAAATATTTACGAATAGTCAACTTCATATAAAAACACTAAAATTCTTCCCACCGCTACCACATCAACTCATCTTGATTGCTCGGGAATCTCTTTCCATTTATGTGAATGCCAATTCTGTAGTTAACGATACAAGCTCGGCACTACCCCTTCATAGCTCTTAAAAATGCACCCTGCCCTCTCTGCTACCCAGTTTTTCTAGTTTGTTTTATAATATTTCATTGGCAATTTTTGTTCTTCACCTCAGAAGATGCTCATTTAACATTACCCAGTGGGCACCTGTGAACCTAAGTCACTGAGGCGAGTAACATTACCCATACCACACCGTCACAGATACCCATTTGTAGTGTAGGCCATATTCACACAACAGAGAGAGAGAAACATCCATGCCTTGAGCGGGATTCGAACCCGCAACCATCGGTATCACAGTCAGGCAGGCTGACATTACATTAAGGAGCATAAACTTTTGATTATTTACCAGCATAAACTATGGGGACCATATTTTCCAGATTGCTGCCCATATTTTGAGAGTCAAGATTCCAAAGTCATCGGAAAAAAGCCCATTTATACGCAGCGAATACTTTTTTTCTGTCTCATTTCGTAATTTGAAACATCATCAGGACTAAATGATAAGATAAGCATAGTTAATGTTTAGCCTTTGAATATGTAAGTTCTAGTAAATTGAAATTATTTTAGTAAATTGAATTATTAGGTCAAAAGTTATTAAGATATTCAATACTTTTTTTTGCCCACTGCACATTTACATTAATACAGAAATACTTTTTTTAAAATAAAATATGGGCAAAGTAAAGGAACAAATATCACTAAAGAAGTTTTTTTTTTTAAATTGCACATTAAGTTATAAAATCTTGGGATGTAAGAAAATATAAGAGAAGGCAAAAATAATTGCAAAAATAAGAGAGTAAATTTTTCCTGAAATTTTTTTTCGAAGTTAACACCTCTCATTTACATTTTGATCTTTGTATCTGACTGACAGCTGTATGAAAAGAATCAACATGAAATTGAACGAAAAATCAGCCTTAATGTCTATTAAAAATAGAAGATATTTTTTTTAAAATGCGGTTAATCATGAAAGAACTTTTAGAAAGTTTAGTATTGCCAACATTTAAACCATTCACGAAGTTCAAGTTCCCCTAATATCTATTTTTTTTTAAACATCAGTATAAGAAAAATTAAGGTAAAAATGGACTACAAAAGAGTGTAAAATAGAGGACACATTTTTAAAATGTGGTTAACTATGAAAGAAATGTTTCAAGTTTAGGTATTACAAGCATTCAAAAGGTTTAAATGCTTACAATGAAGTTTTCTTTAATCCAAAGCTCTCCTCCTAAACATTCTTCTTTTTCTTCATCTGGCAGAGCTTCCCATTGAGTCTGTGAACACTGCAGGTGCTTCCTAATGATATATAGCTTCTCCTCATCACCATACTCCTCCTTCATAATGCTGAACTTCCAAAGCCATCGAATATTCCAAAACATGTATTTCAGAATAGTGTATGGAAGACAGACTAATTGAACCCATAATACATCCATCAACGATGGCTTTGAATAGCCACCCCTTGAAAAACAACAAGCATGAATTATGCACAAAACAAAGTTTGGTATTTATAGCATAATTGATTAAAAAGTGTTTTACAGGGTGCGTGAAAAATCTTTCAACAAAAAATAAGCATCTTTTAAGTACTTTTTAAGCACTATATACATTAACAAAATTCAAAATAATTTTCAAAGACTTTACATGATCATGATAAAATAACTAGTTTCTGACAGAGAACTCTTTTTCTTGATTATTATATTAGCCATTATAAAAATTTTCGGTTTGATTTTAGAAGGAGGAAAATGAAGCCGGAAATTGAGAATCTCTTGCAAAATGCAGCCGAGTTAAACATGATAGTGCAAGAACAATTCCCACTGGATCCAGATGAGTATGAGCACATGCAAACCAGCAAGCATTTCATCAAACATTTAAAATGATTGGCACTTTCATACGCTATGGAAGGACCGTACATCGAAATGCATTGCATTTGAATGATTTGTGAAAACGTTGAATAGAACAATGTGAAGACCACTCTTTTGCATACATAATATGCGGTGAAAATCGTCCATGGTAAAGAAGGAAAAAAATCTCATTTTCGATAAGGGAAAATTAAGCACTTTTTAAAAATGCCCAATAAAAAAAGCACTTTTTAAAAACGGCACCCTGGTTTTAGAATGTTACCAAAATTGGTAGCATAATTTGTCAGACAATTAACAAAACAGAGAGGCATTCAAAAACGAAAAAAAAAAAAAAAAATTCAATATTTTTAACCTCCAACTCCCTTTTGTCACACATCACCTTACCCCCTATCCCCTTGTCATATGCCAAGATATGTTGCTTAAACATATTGCACATTTCAGAAACAAGATGTTATAGATCACATTTCAAATTTTAATTCCAAAACAATGTGTTATAATCACATTTGTGTACATAACAATAATAATGGTTAGACGTGATAACAATATGAAAACCAATTACATAAAAATAGTTAATCTACTGATTTTAAGTTTTAATTTTAACTTTTGTGATGTCACTGTTCTTGGTACCCCTTCAAAACACTTTTAAGACTCTCTCATTTATGGACGGCCCCTATTATGACAAAACACCACATAGTTTTTTTTTTATTAGCAGGATAGTTAGATATAACATGAAGAAGTTTATAGTAAAATGAATTATTTTAAATGAGTTTGTTAAAAAGAACTAAATTAATAAATATTCAAATGAAATAGGTATTTTTACAGAACATTCCTTTAATGTTAAACATGGCAATTATTTCAAACAAATTTAGTAAATTTCTTATTCCTTTTTAAAATGATTTGATTTTGACCTTGTATTTTTAACAAATTGAGTAAGAATATTTACAATAAAAGTTGTTATAATATAAAGAGAAAATTTTTTTTTTTTAAATCAATACCAATATAAATAACAAATTTGTGAAACTATCCCATAAACTGTAATTTGGATAAAATATATTTCTTTCTTCCCAAAAAAATATTTAATGTATTTCTTTTATACAAATTTTTAAACATTTGGTAAAAATGGGGAGTTGTCACTTAAGTGCAATATTTTCTATTGGAATATCTTTAACAAATTGTATTCAATATATTTGTTTTAACAAAAATAATTTTATTTCAAAATATCACAACTAATGATAAAAAAAAATGGTTGATAAAGATAGTTTTTAAAAAATGTTTTACATTTAAATAAAAAAAAATGTATAAGAGAAGGAAATGTTTTGATATGCATTAAATTTTGTAGTTTAATTATAAATTTAGGAAAGAAAAATAAGGATAGTAATCAAACCACTGTTTCACTTCTAATAAAGTTCTTATTTGTAATAAACTATAAGAAATAAAGCTCTTATTTCAAATATAATTATAAATTTATTATAAAATCATAAATTTAAAATTTAATTGTAACAAGTAAAACAGCTATATGAGTACTACAAATGATATGAAAAAATAAATTAGCAGAAAAAATTGAACCTATAATTTTATACTATTATTTTGTAGACATGATTTACATTTTTAACATAACATAAACATGATTTACATTTTTAAACTAAAATTAGTCATAGAGGTTTTAAAAAGTGGAGAAAAAAATCTTTATTTATGTTGAAATACCTGATGTCCATTCTTTCTTCTAAAATTTTCTTTAAAATATTTTCAGACTCTTCTTTTAGTTGCTCCTAAAATGATAATGCTTAAAATTAAATAAATAAATATATATGAATAAATATATATCCCAATTCTTTTTGGCAGTAAAACTGTCGATGTTAGAGCTACTTCGGGTGATAATCCAACTTTGCAAAAGCAGCTGTCAGTATAATAACCATCGAAAGACTGGCAATTATTTTGAAAATATTTAATATGAAAAATTTAATTTTTTCCCCAATAATACTTTTAAAATGAGGTTTTGACCACACAGTTGAATTAACAGACCTCAAATGGTATTAAGTCTAGTTGTGAATTTATTCCTGGTATATGCATAAGCTAAAATGGATTGACATAAGCTGAATCATGGTCTTTGAAAATAACTGCAATGAACATTCAGAATGGTCATAGAAACACAATTCTTTATTCTTAGATTTTGGTATTTTATTTTTAAAAGGTTCAAAGAGAAATAATGAAGCAATATTTTTATGAATGCATATCATTTTAATAAATTATTCAGTATATATTGCTATTAAAAAAATACTTTTTTAACAAATCGATCTATTTTTTCTAAAATTTGATTTAGAAACAACTATTATTCAACAAATGTAATTAAATGTTATGAAAAACTATTGCATAGGAATGAAATACCAAAAGAAGCAATTTTATATAATAATGAAGCAATTTCTTTATAAATGCATGTCATTTTAATAAGTTATTCAGCATATATTGTTATTAAAAAAGCATGTTTTTTAACAAATTGATTGTAAAAGTTGTTGGATTTAATAGATATATTGTAGCAGTCTTAAATGTAATACTAGAAAACGAAAAATCAATCTTTACGTAAAGTTTTGTAACGAAAAACTTTTTGTGAATATTTTTTGAATTGTTTTGTTGAATTTGAAAAATCAAACATTTTAGTAAAATAACATACTTTAGACTTTTTATTCCGCTTTTTGTCAACAACCAATAAGTTTTCTTCTTTTGCAATTTCCATAGCCTAAAATAAATAAAATGAAGACACATGATGAAAATAGCACCTGAGATGACTATTAAATTAGGTAGTCATTTTGTGAGAATTCATAAAATAGCTTAACTGTAAAAAAAAAAAAAAAAAAAAAAAAAAAAAAAAAAAAAAAAAAAAAAAAAAAAAAAAAAAAAAAAAAAAAAACATGTTTATTAATGCTTTCATTAGCCACTGTGTTAGAGAAAAGAAAGAAAAAAAATTTTTAAACTCTTATACACGAAGTGATACTTTTACAGCTTGAAACAGTTATGAAACTGGAAAGAATATTGAGTAAAATTAAAAATGTAAGTATAATTAACAGAAAATAAATTATAAAACTGATTTTTTTCTTAAATATAATATAATTTTATTAAAGAAGAAGTATATAAAATTTAAAATGTCTCCTCCAACTCAAAAAAATTGTACAATGCACTATAACATTGATCAATGATAGATCTAGATAAATTAAAATAGTCATCTGTTAATAATGAAACCTAAAAAAAGTTCTTCTTTTACAAAATGACATAACTTATCTAAAATCACAAAATAATAGTAATTACTTCAGTAATTAAGTTTAGAGTATGTAAAAGACTCTTACCTTTAAGCGATATTTTGGCACAGTAATAAGATAATTAATGGCAGATTTATATCTAGACCAGGCTCCAAGATACTGTGATATAAAGAAAACAAAAAAAATTATGTTACAAATATTGATTTGAAATATCTCTGGCAATTTCCAAAACTAGTTTATAACAAAATTGTTACTTATTACGAACTTAAAAAATAATACTGAAAGCTTACATAAGTACCTCACATAGAATTTGTCAAATTTATCTGTGAAATTTTAAAATATTTCAGGGAAAATTTACGAGAATTAGATTGATATTCAAGTAAAAAAAAGTATAAACAAAAACTGGAACAAAAAGTTCTTCATTCTGTGCCTAATTTCATATTATATTAAATAAAATTTTCCTGTCAGTTCATCAATGTCTTTATGTTTATTGGTGTCATTCCATTATGAAAACAGTTCTGTGACACTCTTCGTCATCAGCGGTTCAGAAAGGTTTTTATTTGAAACTTATTATTTCCTCATCTGAGTAGGTTAGAATTTCTTATTTTTTGTTAAAGAAAGAAGAAAAAAAGTTGATGCAAGGAGAGTATTAAGAGTAATAGCTCAGAAGACTACAAAAAAGTGATGTGATGCACTAGCATATGATGTTCTTATTTTACTCAAACATATTGAATGTACAAAACATTTTTGTTTTCCTGAGGTCACCAGTGAAACTCATGGCATAGAGCTTAAAACACATTGTTACAGTGCCATTAGCATTACCGATGGTTTGTATCTATCTATTTTGTAAAACTTAAGCTGAATTGTGTTTACTGTAACTATCCTACATCCAATAAACCTGTTAAATTGATGATGGTAAGTTTGGTATATAGTTCGTTCACCAGGAGTTGGGACTTGGCTCCGCTTTCATCACGTGGCATCCGATGATATTATTTCGCTATTTTTGGGAGAAGGATGTGAACTATCCTGAACAAGGTTGCTATTTGACGACAGTATGACAAAAATATTTCACAATCTTTATGTGCATTTTTTTAACATTAAATATTACAAAAATTTGAAATTTCTCTTTTGAGTGAGTAGTTTGTCCTTTTTGAGACGTTTTGCTACAATATATAATAAGGGTTGTCTCAATTTCAAGCGTGGAGACATTTCTCCTCTTACTCCCGCGCTGAAATGAACTCTTTGTCCGAGAAGGTGGAGCCAAGTGCCAACTCCTGGTAAACGAACTATACCTGTAATCATTTTAATTTACTATGAGGCATTGAATATGTTAAACATAAAAAAAGTTGGCTAACCTTACTATGATACATTACATAAAACATACTTCTACACAGTGAATTAAACATATTTTGGTTAAAAAAGAGAAAATCCAAATTTATATTAGGTATTTTTAGGATATTAATTATTATTTAAGATCATCACATAAAGTAAAAAGTCGTGATAAAAAGAAAAAGATACCTGAACAACAGAAATCACAGTTATAGTAACAGCGATAACAATTCGAGCATCAACTTTAGGAGACATTTGACGTCTATAGTACCTGTAGTAGTGACCATATACTTTGTCTAAAAAGTAAAAGATGCAGCAAAATGTTATTTTTTTATGGTTACATAACTTTATTTAAGGCAGTTTACTTTTAAAGGTATTTAAAAATGTATAAAATTATTAGAAATAATGGAATTTCTTACAGGCAGTATAAGTAACATAAGAACCTAACAGAAAAGAGGAGATTTGACAAGTAAGAAAGAAAGAATTAGACACTGAAGATTAAATTGACAATTTTTGGAATATAGGTTCCTTTGAATATAACTATGACATGTTAATATAACCAGGACTGGAAAATTATATTGCAATACATGCCAAAATATTTCATCAGAAATAGTACAACATGGTGATTAAGAATCCTCTAAATTTTTGACTAAAATCACCAAGGTGCCAGGTAGAAAGGGAAAGGAGGATAATCAGTACTTAGGAAAAAAGAAATCTATTTCATATCATAATACTTAATTGCTACAGCAATCCTCAATTATATAAATTGATTATCGCAAAACCAATTTAACATTGGATTTGCGAAAAAAGAAGTAGGCCTGTTAAAAAGCATTCACTAACCAAACATGCGTAACACTTCTTTGTTTATAATAATGCCTCTTTCTCAATTAATGCTGATTCACGCAAAATAAATGAACAGTGCAAATTAACTCCAGTCACAGCTTATTTATGCTCGAAACTTTTTTGTTAATAATACCTAACATTTTGTTAATAATATTTAATACTTCTGATTTACTGATGTCTGTATTGAATACTTGATGTCCTTCTTTTTGACAGATCAATAATATGGACAGAGAGTCAGAAAAAAAAGGGACTACTCTGAATAACTTTTGATCGAATGGTCGGATCTTCACTTACTGATGTCTGTATTGAATACTTGATGTCCTTCTTTTTGACAGATCAATAATATGGACAGAGAGTCAGAAAAAAAAAGGGACTACTCTGAATAACTTTTGATCGAATGGTCGGATCTTCACGTTCTAGAACTCAATTTTAATGGTTTGACAGGGTAATCTCAAATATGCTAATTAATTAGTGCAGACAATATTTTAAGTAACGAACTTTCTCTGGATACACATACCCTTTTCTCTTTTGATTTCTGACCCCCCAAAAATAGGGGATAGACCCAGTTTGGCCAATAGAGTGATCCAAAGTTTGGACCCCTTAATGTTAATTTCACTTTTTGCATATTTCACAATATCTAGAGAACTTTTTCAGTGAGTGGACACTGAACACAACTATAAACTATAAAATTTGATTGTTCAAAAAAAAGTTCATACAAAAAATTTACTTTCATAAATATTTATTATTTTATTCAATAATAGTCGAGAAAAATTTTAATTGTAAGTTTCACAATATTTTAGATAATTTCAAGGTATGCAATTTTACATACAAAATACTATATTTGAGTGAAATTGGTCAAATAGTTCCTGAGAAATCAAATTTTAAAAGAGCAGTGCATTAAAAATTCGATTTCTCAGAAACTACTCAACGGATTTTGGTAACCCTCTCAAACCATTAATATTGAGTCTTAGACCGTGATCATTGGGATCAAAAGTTATTCAGCGTGGTCTGTTCTTTTTTTCTGTTGGCACATTATACATCATACATTTTAATTAAACGCAGTCAAAAACACTATCATCAAGGACCATTTCCTTCATTTTCTTAGAAAAACTACACCATTCAATCAACAAATCAGAAAACATATTTGAGGCACCAACCAATATTGCATACCAAATAATACTATACATTTGAAAAAATATGCAATGAAATGTAATATAGTGAATTCCTGTAAGTTTGTTATTTAGTGGGACTCAGAAGATGAATCTTTAGTTAAATAGATTCCAAAAGGTGTCAAATAATCAGGTGAATAAAGGATCATACATACATATATAGCATAAACTTTGACATTTATCAAAATATTCAAACAATTCTACATAAAAATGAATAATTAGAAAAATAAAATTCAAGTTTCATAATCAGTTTCTTAAAAAGTATTTCCCCCCTCCCTCTTCTCTTACCTGGATTATCCAACATGTAATCATAATCTTTTCTACTCTCTTCATCTTTTAACACCTGTAAAATAAAATATATATATCGAAATGAGTTTATTATTTGAAAAATATTTCTTTTAAAAGCATTAACACACGAAAGATAAAGAGAATGTTGTACCTCATAAGCTGTGGCAATCAAAGTGAACTTTTCTGAAGCTTCTTGCTTTGCTTTTTCCTGAAAATGAAAGTATAATAAAATTACATAGCAAAATCAAATATTTTGAATGAGCAAAAGCAAAGATTTCAAATATCAGTGCAACAAAAGCTTTGGTTTAAATTTTAACTTACTGTTTTGTGCATATCGGGATGAAATTTTCTTGCCAGTTGACGATAAGCTTTGGCAATGTCAACCTATTTAAGAAAAATTCTCATTAATAATGATTGCAAGCACTTCATAATTTTATACTAAGTCATGAAAACTATAATGGTTAAAATGATTTTGCATAAGCATAGTTTTTGTATTTTATGTGCAGTTAGTTAATGGCATACAAAATACAATTGCATGAGTTAGTTATAACTATAATTTCTTTTCTGTCTTAAAAAAAAATATTTAATAATAACTTAATAAAATATTATATTTTTTTTCCGTAAACAATGACACTTGCAAAAAGAAATATTTGGTTAATTCTTTACATGGGTGTCTGCCATGTTTTGTATTTAATAAAGTTTATGAATAAAATTAATTTAATCTCCTTGCACCCAGAGAACCAAAAAGTAATCCAATCTTTTAATTTTTTTGTGCATAATGTATAATTTTCAACTTTCTTTAACAAGTCTGGGTAACTTATCACCTCTTATTTGTACACTTTTTAAAAATTATATTTGCTCGCTGGCTTAGTTCTTTCATTTTCACTGTGATTTTTTAAAACACCATGTTTATATCTGGGTTTTCACTCCAACTTACCCAAAATGGTTTAATTGGCAGCAAAACAAATAACTACTTTAGCTAAACCTGATAATAAAACTTTCTTTTTCCCTTTTATAGAAAGTCTGCCAGTAGAGAATCAATTATGCTAAACCAGCCCCTAAAAAACTTTTAACAACGTGAAATTTTCTAAATGTAAAAGGGAGGGAGGGGTCTCAAGGAGAAACAGATTTATTTTGTTTAATTTAATAATTATTTTTTTGCAGATTAGCCAAAGCTAATATAACCATAACCATACAATAACAGTTTAAAAATAATTTACTTCATAATTGGATTAACTGCTTTTTAAATGTATTTTACTAGAACTACATTTTATATAATTTTACAGATGTTTAATTACGTTATTTAAGGTGATATTTACGTATTGGTATCTGTTTGTGCTAACTACAAGAGAATTTAAACTTACAAAAATTAGGAAAATATGTATAATATGAAGTTGGCCCCCTTCTGTGATTTTTTTATTTTATTTTCTCAAGGGCTACTACCCGGGAATAGACAAAACTTGGCGATTATTATAGCGCAGGTATTGATATGAAAAATCTTCCTGATTTAACATGTTTTATAAGGATTAAAACAAAAATTGTATCTCTTTCTATTAAATTTAAAATGTAGCAAATCATGATAATAAATTAATTAATGAAACAAAAAAAATTATCACTTACTTTTGTTGCATCGCGATCAATGCCCAAAACTAGAAAAATAGAATAAAATTTATTATTCAGTTTCATTATCAAACACTTTTATAAAAGTGGAACTTTTTGAAAAACACTTTTAAAAAAACTAACCGGAGTAACAGTTATGTTTTCCACAATACAATCCATCGATGAGACCAGCAACATCATGATTAAGGTAAAAACAAATGCTAATAAATAAAATTAATTTATACATTTTGAAGATAAATTTTTAACAATTAATCCGTATAGATGATATTCGTTTATACTACAGATAACACGGTCTATTTAAATAATATTTGTGCCGCATTATTAGTTTTAAGACTCTTTTTATATAATTAAAAGCTAAACAAATACATCACTAGCTTCTAAATTATAAACAAAGATTTAAAAAGTATATCTAAAACACTATGCACAGCTGGGTGCAAGATTGCGTGGATATGGAGTTACTTTTAACGTTTCCGGCTATCTATTTCTGCTTGCATCAAGATACTTTGAATTGAGATATATGTTTAAAAAAATTATTTTTCCCACCACTAACATCTAAACTCAATAGTAAACAATAAACAAAGATTTTGATATAGAGATTGATAGTAGTATTCAGGTTAAAAGTTTAATTCATTCAGTTAAAGTAATATTTAATCTAAGAAAAATTATTGAATACAAAAAATTTATGTAAACACTCACTTATTCGTACAGAAACTAAGTTATTCTTGCAGACCATTGATAAAGAACTTAATTTGAGTTAGTGTAAATAATGTGAGGAAAATTAATGAAAACAATTGATAATTAATATGAGCTTTCTATTATTCATATTAAAATGAAGTTAGTCCTACAGAAATATAATGTAATTAAAGAAAGATCTAATATAATATTATTCAAGTAGTAAATACAATACAATACACTTACACTATTTCTCACACTTATTTTAATTCAATGTTTTCTTATTCATACTATAATAAAATTTAGGATGTTTTCTGTAAAGCAGTATTAAAGATTGTGTGTATAAGCTTATTTGATGCTGTCTAATAATCAGTCTAAGAGTAAACCATTTCCTTCCTTCCGATAGTTGTTTTCATTAAGGTTTACAATATGAAGCCTAATACATGCAATATTTGTAATAAATCTTTTACTGAGAAAAGTGATTTTGTTAGTCACTCTTGTGATTATACTGTTGAAAAACCATATTCAACGGATATATTTAAGGAAACATTCACCCAAAGAAATAATTTAACAGAACAGTTAACTGTTCATAGTGGAAAAAGCCGTTATTCATGTGTTGTATGTGGCAAAAATTTCACACAAAAAGATCGATTAAACCGACATACGCTTGTTCATACTGGAGAAAAGCCCTATCCATGTAGTGTGTGTGACAAAAGTTTTGCAGATAAAAGTGGCTTAATTAGACATTCTCGTATTCATACCGGAGAAAAACCATATTTGTGCAATGTGTGTAATAAATCTTTTGCACAGAAAACTGGTTTAGAAAGACACTATTTAGTTCATACTAAAGTTAAGTCATATTCATGTAGTGTGTGCGATAAAACTTTTTCACACAAAGAGTATTTAAGTAAACATTACATCTATCATACTAATGAAAAACCCTATTCATGTGAGGTGTGTAGCAAAACATTTGTGAATAGAGGTAAATTAATGGAACATTCTCATGTTCATACTGATGATAGGCGTTATTCTTGCAGTGTGTGTAATAAAACATTTACAGTGAAAAGTAGTTTAAACCGCCATATGGTTATTCATACAGGACAAAAACCTTATTCGTGTGACGTGTGTTATAAATCTTTCCGTCAGAAAACCGCATTGGATCGACATTATCAACTACTACATACTAATGAAAAACCTTATTCATGTGAAGTGTGTAACAAAGCATTCGTGAATAAAAGTAGATTAGCTGAACATTCTCAAGTTCATGCTGAGGAGAAACTCTATTCTTGCGATGTATGCAATAAAGCTTTCACAGTGAAAAGTAGTTTAATTCGCCATTCTGGTATTCATACTGGACTGAAGCCTTACACATGCAATTTATGTTGCAAATCTTTCAGGGAGAAAACTGTATTAGATAGGCACTATTTAATTCATACTAGAGTTAAATCTTATCCATGTAATGTGTGTGACAAAACTTTTATAAGAAAAGATCATTTAAATCAACATTTACTTATTCATAAAAATTAGGATTTTATTAATATTTTTAATATCAAAATTTTTTAGCAAACATTTAGATTATACTAGAGTCAGAGTACATAATGGAATTTTCACACAATTAATAAGATATAGACCAGTAGTTGAATTTGTATGGATTTTCATTGAAAACTTGGAGGTATTTCCATAACTGCACTTATTCAAGCTAATTGGGTGCTTGCGCTTCGAGAAGAAGAAGACCTTCTATACTGACACATGTAACATCAGCGCCGGCTAATCTTTATCAGCAAAATGATGTATTAAAGTTGAGCTAAGTTTTTCTACATAAGTTAGATTGTTAATTAAGGATAATTAAATACTGAATCGTATCCCTCATTAAATTTGTTTAAATTATAATGCTTTCGCGTCTACTACGTTTATTTAATAAAGATTTATTATTTGTTTATGTATTTTATTGTAACTGTGATATATTTTTGTTTTGTGTACCTGGCAACTTTAATACATAATTAGTTTGTTTATGTGACAAATGGCTTCGTGCTTGTCTTTGTGTAAAGTCTCAGTGTAAATATATAGTGAAAGAATTTAAATCTTTGAGAAAGAATCCTTGTGAAAGAATTTAAAATGTGTTACTTGTGAGAATGATACTTGAACGGGTTGGCTTACTAGAAATAGAATGGAAAGAACAGTTTCTAACGTAAACAAAGGACATGTTTCAACAACCAATCAGAATCGAGATACTCACAGTACGTCACTTGCAGGTATCTCATTACAATCGAATAACCAAAAGTTTTGCTTTTTTTGATTTGCAAAAAGTATTTTTAAAAAAATTTGTGTCAAGATTTGCTTGGGGGTGTCTATGAGTTTTCGTGTCGGTTCCCCTTCTGTGATAATTTTTTTTAGCTTCTTGCAAACAACTCTCCCATTTTTACTATTTATTTGGCAATTTTTTTGTCATAATTACCAAGACGGAAATTTTTCTAAAGACCTTGAAGTTGTTGATATTTTGTATTAAGAGTATATTACCTTTGGTAAGAAGCATGTAGAAAAATAAAATTTTGCTTGCAGAGGTTTCAATAAATTAAATATTAGTGTAAATAGTGTAAATTTATTTAAATAATGATTGTTATAATTTGGTCATTCCTTAGTGTAATGCAAACATTACCAATTTCTTTTAAAAATTAAAAGACGAAGTATCTAGTTTGAAAACAAAAAGCATTTTAAGTTCTGCACATTTTGTCTTAATGAATACAATTAAACTACACCAAGTTTTCAACTTCCCCTATGGAAAAATGAGTTTTATTATATTTTTTTTTTACTGTATATAAATTATGTTCATATGATTAATTTTTTAAATAAATTTTTGAACTACATTTGTTTTGATCATGTTTTTGATGATGAAAATTTTCTTTAAAAAAGAAAAGAAAAAAAAGAATGTAGCGCCATTCAAATCTTTAACACCTTAATTAGTACTACCTCTGCATTTTGGAATTTCAATGTAATTTTTTTTAAGGTTATTGAAATTTATTATTCTAGTTGAGAAATTTTTTTTTTCTTTCCAATTAGTTTTGGGCTAGGTTTGCACATAGACCATTCAAAAGCCGCAACTTGTGCATCGCTATTTTATACGAAAGTTTTGCTATATTAATAATTTTATTTCTTGTATATCAATCGTTGTGGCTTTTTTTTTTTTTTTTAACATTTCTTCCTGTCACAGTCATCTAAAATCAATTCTTTTATTAAATAAAAATTGATTACTATTTTCCCTACATTCATTTTCTTCCAGTTCCATTTGAAAAATTAAAGAATGTAGTATGATGCAGAAATTTTGCTTATATGCTATGTGACAAAAATCTTGGTTGGAGGGGTTGCAAAAAAAGTTATTACACATTTTCTGGGGCGTACTTTGCTCCATTACACACAAAAAAAAATTGTGACAGGCAAATAGATATGTGTTGGCAAAATTAAATCAAATTTTTTTAAAAGAATTATTTTTCTTCGTAATTACTTAAAATTTACTAATATGAAATTCAATTTGCACAGTTGTCAAAGTAATTAATTCAGACTAGTTATCAAACTGATTAATATAAGCTGGCTATCATCCTCAAAAAATTGGTAGTACGATTCCCATACGAATATTAGAAACTTAATCATTCCAAATTAATTCGGGATTGCAACACTTGAATACACCCTCTAGCAGGAAGGATATTTTCAGGCTTTTATTTATTAAGTTTTCATTTTGTTCCATCAAAATCATTGGTAGAGTAAAATGCTTTTTTTTTTCTGTAGCAAATAAGAAGAAAAATATTCCTAATGAAAAGTCAGAAAAACTTGAAAAAACAATCTAGAACATTGGTAAATCATTGGGAAACAGAACGTGCCCAGTATTTGAAGAACAATTTCTCTTTAATTTTTTTCTTTCCATTTTCAACAAATTAGCAACTGATAACTTCTGATTTCGTGATTGCCTACTGTTAAAGATGTGTGTATTAAGGTAAAATACTTTTTTTGTGTGTCTTTAATTCATTTTAAATTAAAAGGAAGTTATTTAAGTCCTCATTGTTTACTTCATTCCGATGAATAAATGGGATTTCAGAACTGAAATAGTTATAGAATATTATTATTCTTTATAGAATAGTATATATTTCTGTATATAAATAATTCAAAAAACAACAATAAACAATCATCCGAATTATTTGAAATAATATTTGTGTTGATTATTAATTAATTTTTATGATTTTCTTGATAAGAGTTTTTTTTAATTTTGAATGATTAGTTTCAACTAGAAGCTATTTTGTTTTTAAGTTACATATTGAAATTCATATCGAGATCTTACAATTATAAAATTTTATTGTGTGGCTTGTCATCTTAAAGTAATGAAGGAATAACCTTTGTATATATTATATGAGAACAAAATTTTCAAACGAACATTTCCTTTTGGAATTCTCCGGATTTATGAAGCAAGTAAGTGTTATGATTTTTATAATAAAAAATTTACTTGCAAATGATTTTTTTTCTACTTTGATGATAGTTCTCAGAATGATTTTCTACGTCTGATTAAGAACTTTAAGACTAAAAAAAAAAAAAAAACATAGGAAATTTTTTTATTTTAATATGAGGAATTTTTAGAATATTTTTTTTTTATCGTAAGTATTCTTTACTTTACATTTTTTAGTACATAAATAACGATTTTTTTTTTTTTTGTTGAAGCTTTTAATTTTTTGATAAAAATTGGTGTCAAAAAACTTTTTTTAAAATTAAATCACATACTTTTTTCTTATTTTAATGTTTAAAGTACTATAATTCGGAAAAATATGAAATGTAAAATTTAAATAGACCTTTCATATTAGATCATAAATAAATCAGAGTGATTTCATAGGTGTTAGGTTTTAACTCTAATGCAAAGATAAGAGCCATATTTTTTTCTGCTTTACAAATATTTTCCCAATGCCTTTGGGATATTCCTTCTCTAAAAAAAGAGATTCCATTTTGTTTTTGCTTGCATAAGAAAGGATATCAAGCATTTTTCTTTTTTAAATTTAACAAGCCACAATAAAGATGGAGCATCACCATGCTACACTGAAGAAATCTCCAGTGCAACTGATGATCCTGTTATTCTACCAGCAGTCATTTGTCTCAAACAAAAATGCCCCCTAAATAGTTTGTCTAAAGTAAGAACTCCCCTAGCCATTCGTCTGGAGTATGGTAACGAGGTATAACCATTTCAAGTAGGGGTATGGGGTCACTGTTAAGAACAGGTTTGGGCAAGAGAAAAGGAATCTTTGTCTTCAGCCTATTGGGTTAGCCCTATTGTTAAGAGAAGCTACCTTTTCTGAAATGCGCAATTCTTGTTTCTATGGCAGTAGACGGCCTCAGGAGTAGTGGCGGGGGGAGTTCCTACCGTAGACAAAATATAAGTCTTGTTTATGAATATTCTCTAAACAGACCTCTCTCAATTTAAAAAAAAAAAGGGGGGGGGGTCCCGCAGTGGACTGATCATTAAGACACGGTTCCCAGCAGATCACCGAAGTCAAGCATCACTGGCTGCGGTCAGTGTGCGGGTGGGTGACCCACTTGGATCAGTCTGCGTAGGGACCGAGGGTGTGCGGTATTGGTCCTCGTTAAACTGTGCTACCGTAAAGTGCTCGACTTCGCGCGCAGGTCGTTGGGCTACCAAAGCGGGGGTGCCATCCCCTCTGCAGAGGATCAAAATTGTGATGGCATGTCTTCGGATCATCCTCAGGGATGTTTCCCAGACCGTCGCCTATAGCCCATTGTGCAGCTCTAGTGCGACGTAAATGAACTACAACAACAACAATTTAAAAAAGGGGGGGGATTTTCGAATGTTTCTTTGTAAAACTTGCTGCTTGTTTTTGTTTTTTTTTAATCTTTTGAGTTCACTTGTTACTTTTCATTTACCGGACTCAAGTTTTAAAACTTTCTGCTTGGTTGATTACTATGTCATCAAGATAGAATTTATAATTTCTTTTTTTCATTATGGCTTATAAAGAACAGAAATAGGCAGCCTTGATCATACTACTAAACGTGTTTTGAATACAGAGCTATAAGCTAATGCAATTAACTCGTCGCACTCTTGTACAATGTAAACAAGGAGAATCAAGAATAATAATTTTATATTTATTCATTAAAGCAGTTAAATAATGCGTGACTAAACACTGTGCTAGTCTTCTCAGAATTTTCTAGCTTATTGAAAAAAAAACTTTGTAATTTCCAATCAGGGGGGATTATCATCTTAATTCTTAAACAAATGTTATTTATTCATTTTTAATTTCAAAACCTAGACAATGAAAAGTAGGTATTTACCATTAATTGGCCTTTGTTAATGCATATCTGGTTATTGTGGTGAAGCTATCACAAATAGAAGATCAACTGACTTTGATCTGAAAGATTGACTGGAAGCATTAATCAAGTGGTGCGTGTGTTAAGAACTTCACTAAGTAATTTAAGAGTAAAAAAAAGAATTTCTGTTGCTGAAATGAGTGAGAGGAAAATATTTTAAGTTTAATAGAAATCTACACTAGCTTGCATTCACTGGAAAAAGTTTTTAGCCATGCAATGTGGATATATTTCTTTTTAATACAGTTTTGTGTGTAATATAACTTTGCCTAACAATTGTTTATTCAGATCAGAAGCTATAGTTACACATTTATGATTGCAAGTAAATGTTAACTTTCGTTTTAGATTAAGGAAAAATCTTATTGATGAAGAACATAAGATCTAACGTTCATAAACACATCCAAATTTAAATATAAGATTTTGTTTACACTAAAAAGAGGCCATATTCATGCAGTGCATATTCTGATTAAAAGATATTTTATCTCAATACTTGCTTAGTTATCTTAACAAGATACCTTTTTTGTGTTGTATGTGATCAAGTTTTGGTGTAACATTTTTTACATATTTAAGTAAAACTATGTTAGTTTGTGTGTCATTCAAAAAACAGACTTAAGGACATAATTAAGCTAAAATATAATCTGTAATTTAATTTTTGTTAATATCAAAATTTAACTACATTATTTTGTTTATGCATGACAATAGCCAATATTATATGCAGTGTGTATTTTGCTTAAAAGGTTGTTCACATCAATACTTGCTTATTAGATCCAACAGGAAATTCATTGAAAAGAATAAGAATTGTTAAAGTGAGGTATAAGTTGTTATTCTGATTAAAAGGTTATTTACCTCAGTACTTGCTTATTTATTATAAATCCATTTATTGGGGCATGTGTTAAAACCTGATTTTTAATTTAATTTTATTAAATATTAATACATATATTTAATAATGAAGCCTTATACATGTAGTGCGTGTGGTAAAATTTTCACTACGAAAAATAATTTACTTGAACATTCTCATGTTCATACTAATGAAAAACCTTATTCATGCGATGTGTGTGATAAAGCATTTGTTAATAAAAATAGATTAAAGAAACATTTTCGTATTCATACTGGAGAGCAGCCTTATTCCTGCAGTGTATGTAAAGAAACCTTCATGTTTAAAGAAAGATTAAATCTACATTCACGTGTCCATACAGGCGATGAGCCTCATTCTTGTGGTGTGTGTCAGAAAACTTTTACAGTGAAAAGTAGTTTAATTCGACATTCTCGAATTCATTCCGGAGAGAAACCCTTTTCGTGCAATGTGTGTGATCGATCTTTTTCACAGAAAAATGATTTAAAACGGCACATTCTTATTCATACTAAAGTAAAGACTTATTCATGTGATGTGTGCAATCTAAGTTTTGCCCAGAAAGATTATTTAAAGAAACACTATCTAGTTCATAAAAATGTTAAAGCTTATTCATGTGAAGTGTGTAATAAAGCATTTGTAAATAAAAGTAAGTTAATTCGACATACTCGTGTTCATACGGGCGAGAAACCTTATTCCTGCAGTGTGTGTAATAGAGCTTTTGCTTTGAAAGAAACATTAAACCTACATTGCCGTGTTCATACTGGAGAGAAGCCTTATTCCTGCAGTGTTTGTGATAAAACTTTTACATTGAACAGTAGTTTAATTAGACACTCTTACATTCACACTGAAGCGAAATCTCACTCGTGCAATGTGTGTAATAAATCTTTCAGACAGAAAACCAGTTTGAATAAACATTATCTAGTTCATAATAAAACAAAATCTCATTGCATGTGACAAAGATTTTGCGCACCAAGATTATTTAAAGATACACAATCTGGTTCACACTAATGAAAAGCCCTATTCTTGTCGTTTGTGTGGTGAAACATTTACGGAGAAAGTTTATTTAAATTTACACACTTGTATTCATACTGGAGAGAAACCTTACTCGTGCAGCATGTGTGATAATATTGTGCGAAAAGATAGTTTTAATCGGCACTTATTCATTCATAGAATTTGAGGATTTTAAATGGTGAACAATTAAACAGATAAGAGATAGTTTTATATATTTTTGAAATATAATTGTTACATATGCTAGGTGTGTGTGAGAATATTTGGATTTTAATAAAGAGACAACATTAATTTGATGTTGCTTGTGTGGAAGTACTACATGATTATTTATTATACCTTTGTTCCTGGCTTTTTCAGAGATTAAAATAATTTGTGACACTTTAATTCAAAGTAGTAATTTTTTTGTTTCCAAATTGGGAAACATCTAAGATATTGATCTAAACACAAGAATTGGCATGTCATATTCAAGTATTTTTTTGCTCACATTTAATGTAAATGTATTATTTGAAATAAAAAATATTTTTAAAAATTCTTTATCTTTGTTCACCTCAACATTTTAATATAAGCTGAATATTTAATATTTACAGCTGAATATTTAATATTTATAGAATTATTACAGTGGACAATATGGTGCATCACTGAGTTACCCATTAATGATCTTCAACCTCAAATATTGATGATTTCAGAAAAATAAAAAAAAATTTTCCTCTTAACTCATACATAAAAGTATGATGATAATTTTTTTCATAACTTGTATTTCGATTCTGCATTTTATAAAAGATAAAAAAAAATTACAGCATCAAAACTTGATACTCGTTTAATGAGAGTGATTTACCTTTCTCTTCTGTGGTTCATCAAACATTGAATGCTTCTTTTCCCTTAAAAGAAAATGTAATATACAGACTTACCAACTTTAAGAATTCAAAAATCTTTAGACTTTTATGATCATGGCGTAGCTTAATATGCAAAATAATGAAAACTAAGAACAAATAAACTCACACATTTTTTAAATTAAATTTATTTAAGTAATTTTTTTTTACTCCTAAAAATTACAAAATATTTATTTCCCGTTGCACTGAAGTGTAAACAGGTCTGCTGAATCGTTGGCTGTAGGGAAAGAAAAAAAAACATAGGGAAAATACTTTCCTGGCTTCATTTCCTGAGATTTAAAGTAGAAGCAGGAGACTCTGGCTATAAGCTTGTAAGTTGTCAGGTCTGCATGTTTTCTATATTTATCTTATTGTTTAAAAGGCTAATCAAAATGCCTGCAAATCCTTGAATGGATGGAATTAAAATCTTCAGCACGAAAAAGATGACTGAGTGAGTCGAAATTCATAAATAGTGAAAAGAATATATTTGATTAATTTATATGCTTCGAAAATAATAAAAAATCTGTTTTGTAATTTATCTCACACCATGTAGATTGCTATGCATCAATTATTGGTATCATAATTAATGAAATAATCAATATATACCCTCTCATTATGTAATCATTATTATTTTTTTTAGATTTGCAAATAATGTTTTTTTTTTTTTTTTTGTAGTACAAGTAAGACAATGTAAATTTATGAAATAGCATCAAATATGCAAAGACTAAATTTTAACAACTAGCTAAAAAAGATCTTTTTCAAAGCTAAAAATTGTCATAAGAAAATAAAGCTTTCAAAAACAATGTCAAGTGAAATTAAAAATGAAAGGTAATTTTCAGGGTGTGTAGCATTTTTAAAAAGTGCTTAGAGGTGCTTTTTTTCATGGGTTGTTTTTAAAAAGTGCTTATTTTTTCCTTTTCAGAGTGAGATTTTTTCTTTACCATATTAATTTTTGCCACGAATTACACAAAAATCGTTGGTTTTCACATTGACGTGTGAGAAATTCATTTAACAACAATCCATTTCGGCATACCATTGGTCTGTAACGCATGAAAGCGCCAATCATTTTAAATCAAATGGTTTATCAGGCAGGGCTGATTGTGCTCCGGAAAAAATCCGGATCCTAACCGTGATCCGGAAGTTTCTGGAAATCGAAGGTTCAGACGTTTCAAAAAATCATTGATCACAAAAGTTTCCGGAAATTAAATTTTCAAAGGTGGAACTTAAAAAAAACAGTTTATTTTATTTGTTTGTAAGGGAGAGCCAGATATTTTATAAGCTTATATTCAAGATTAATATTCATTTTTTATCAGTAAATAGTTATTATAATCATAAACTCAAGAAAGAAAGACATATTTGTAAATTTCAATTACTTCTCCAGGTCATCATTGGTATGTGTAAAATTTTAAATATATTTTAAGTAAACTGAGAAGTATTGAGAAAAAGGAAAAAAACCTTGTTTAAATTTTTTTTCTAATTTTTCGATTTAATTTTTTTTTTTTTTTCCTGAAGAAATTTTCCGGAATTTTGACTTGGGCTTACAATCACCCCGGATCAGGGTTATGCTAACTCTGTTTATTATATATTCAGGTATGTCAACTTGCTTCTCAAAATTTCTTCTCAATAGTAGCAAAATTTATATTATAATTGTAAATTATTGATTCTTAAATTAGTAAATTTGATTTTAAGTTATTATACCAACCATTACATGTGAATGATTAAAAAGTTTATATAAAGGGCCACTTAGTTGCAATATTCTCATAGTAAGGCTTAACAAAATTTTGTTTATTGTAGTTTTTAAGTTTCTTCCACCTTATAAAATATTTTGATGAAAAGAGAGTATTGGCAATTCTATATACATGTTTTTTTTTTTTTTTTTTTAAATCTAAATAAAAGTATTACTGTAGTATACATATTGAACCTCTTGAATAAGAATCACTGAAGTTTTGGTTGAATACTGTTTTAAATGCTTACTGTACCCTTGCACTTTTACAAAGTTAAACAGTCATTTAATTTGAATAGAAATGTTCTTTTTTAGAAACTTGTCAGAATAACATAAAAATTCTGAAAATTTTCTCCTTTATATTTCTGGTCTCATAACATAAATTTTTATGTTCTGGGTAGAATTTGACAACAGCTTTGATATTTTACACAAGAACATTAAAAATATACCCTGCTGCCTAAATATGTCTGCCTAGGTACAGAAATAATTCCTATTTAAATTGGGTGCTATTGCAAACCTAAGTTTAATTCATCCTGTATGTTCCTCCATATTTTGTTCATTTAAAATTTTGTTCGCTTGAGATTTCAACAAGATACACAGTTATTTAATTATTTTTATAACAGTATTATCTCTGACCCTTAAAACATAAGGCACACTTAAAATTAAAACTAAACAACATTTTCGAGTATGTTACAGATTATTTCATGTAGGTGCCATCCAATTCCACAGATAATCAGGATCTTTGAATATAGTCATCTTATCTAATCAACTTATTTTGCTTTAGAAAATAAATATAATGAACCTTAATCATGAGACAAGACTAAATGTAATACACATGAGACAATTTATTTTTCTAAACTTACAACAGATTGGAAAATAAATAATTTTTTTCTATAAAACAAGGATAATGAATGGGGATTAAAACAAACAAAGAGCATTAAATTTAAGGATACGCAGAAGTTGGCAAATTAACAAATATTCTGTCACCAAATATTTAATTTTCATTAAAATAAGTTTTCAATAAAAATTAATATTAAATATTTTTAATGGTAATAAGATAGATGAATTTAAAGTTATGATCAACCTTGTTAAATACAGTGATAAATTGGAATTATTGATAAATAAATGCTGAAAACCAAATAGTGACAAAATATTTGATGCATCCCAAATTAAAATTGAGCTATAACTTTTAAAATTACATAATAAAAATGCAACAAGGAAAAAAATCCACTTAAAAATTTCAAATTCTTTTTTTTAGAAATTTTAAACATGTTTAAAACTTTTAAAAACACAATTTAAAACATGTACTAAGCAAAGATATATTTCAGTTATTAATAATGTTTATGGAATTTTATCATCAATTTAAACATATAAACCATATTTTACATATGTAAGAAAGAAATTATATGAAACTTCTTTCTAATAAATGAAACATGATTATACAGTGAAACTTCTATGCAAAACCACCTTCTTCAAAGACATCAGTTTTTTTACTTATACACTTCTTTATGTTTAAAAAAAAAATCATCTGTAAAAGAACAGCCTCTCTGGTATGAAAGTACAGTAAAAGCTCCATATTATAATTCTAAGTCACTGTCAAAATGTGAATAATGAAAAAACAAAAATTGTATGTTTATAACAAACTGAGAATTACTAGCCTACTATTATAGTAAAAAAAAAAAAAAAAAAAAAAAAATTGAGAAAATTATTTTTTCTACTGTTTAATTAAGCATTATTATATGAAAAAGAGCAATTTAAAAATCATTTTTACTCTCTCCTGGCATCAATACAGAAATCTTTTCACCTTCATCTTTATAAAGTTATATGTGGCTGACCACTGGCTAAGTTATCTTACTCCCTATAAAAGAGAAATTCTGCTATTTTTAAGAATCCTACCACATGCTTCACAATAATGAGCTTTTGGTTAAACACATAACTACAATGTTAATTTTATTTTCCTTCTTGACAGAAATAAGTATTCAGTGTTATCAATGATATCAGAAACTATCGAACTTGAATTTCTTTTTTCTCTTGCATCTTACAAAAACTCTCAATTGTTGGTATAATGCAAATGAAAAACATATTTTAAAACATTGGAGCTAGATTGACCAACAATACAAATGAGAAAAGTAATAATACCAGTAATTTTGCATTAATCATGTTTTTAGTGAATTTAAAGGTATTAAGAGAAAAATGCAGATTCAGGAGCAATTCTGATTGGATAATATAACACTGCTTCAAACATGCTTAAAGAAATTAGTGACCCTAGGAGCAACTTACAAAGCTGATCAAAGCCTCATGTGAGACTATTCATGTAAAACTATACATTATACAAAATAAATTAAGAGATGTTGGTTGAATCTTTTGTTTCAGGGAAGTCTAAATAAAACTTTGCAGCATAAGGTAGAGAATCGTACATAAATAGTGTAAGTAAAACTTTAAAAATCAGAAAAAGAAACATTTGCATTTTGACAATATGTTTCTGATATTCAAGATTTTATAAATAATGAAAGGAACATTTGATTTTAATGTTTTTGTAAATATTTTTGAATAAATTATTCTGACAATCTGGAGCTAACAATTCTTTTAGAGACTATATTTTCTTAAAGACCAATCATTTTGCACAATGAAGGTTGTTTCTACCAGGAAGTTTCTCTCTATTTAATAGAGATGTATTATTTTTACTTAGAATTATTATCTGCCTTTTTAATGTATACCTGAATTAATGTTATTATTTCATACATATGTTTCTAAAAAAGTTAAGAAATATGCACATAAAAATGAAACAAAAGCTGAAACTTCTTTTAGTCTGATTAAAAAAAGATAACTATAAAAATATTGAATGTCCCATGGTAAAGTGAAATTCAATGCATAAAATAGTAGTACTATTTCATTTACTGCTATACTTTAATTCTATAATTTAAAAAAAAAAATTTTTTTTTATAAACCAATGATCATATTTAATTTTTTTCCCCACTTAATCAAACTAAAAACTTATACATATAAGAAGACTGTATATGATACATTTCACAAACTAAAATTTTTAACATAAATAATTTGATAATAAATATTATAAATTACAATTCACTTGAATGCTAATGAAATAACAAGTATGTTATCTTTAGAAGATATATATATATA